TATCTATCTATCTATCTATCTATCTATCTATCTATCTATCTATCTATCTATCTATCTATCTACCGACCTATCTCTCTCTCTCTTTCTGTCTATCTCATATGAAAACAAACAGTGTAAGTATCGACACATTTGCTACATGTTCACAAAGGCACATTTGTGCCTGTGCATGGATGTTTTAGAGAAGAAGAAAAAACCCATCTCTCAGGAATCTGAGCTTTTTATACAATCACTGGACATGCATATCCTTCTCTGGAGAAAGCTTCTCTTGTTATCCTGGGTAGCAGGCATGCTTGCCATTTGCTTCAAAGGGAGACACTATCTCTCATTCCAAGGTGTTTGCTATGCACATGTCTTTGAGAGGATAATCTTGAATAAAGGGCAGCCAGGGCTCAGCTTCATTAAATGTACAGAAATGCTCCTGATCCACTGAGAATTGTCTTCCAAATCTACCTCACTTGATTCTACCTAATAAGCAGCAGGCAGAAAAAAATTTAAAAGCACTTCTATTTAAGCAGCTTTCCTCTTGCTATACAAGTGACAGAATCCTTTGTGTGGTGCAGGAATTTTATATTGGCATCAAGTCAGAAAGCTTTAGGATTTCAATTTTGGATACAAGTAAATTATTTTTTGAGCAAAAAGCAAGAGAGGATCTCTATCTGAGCAGAGGATGCCATATTCCATGTTGGTCAAGGAGCCGTTACTTGCATTTGGGAGCGAGTGATACTGATAAGAATGAAAGCCCATCAATATACAAGGTGTCTAGGCTGCTATTTGCATAGGAAATAGGATTTTGCTCCACAAAGTCTGGCCTGAATCTTAGCTTCATTAGGAAATCATACTAAGTCTGAGTCTTGGCCCATCTACTCTTAAGCATTTTAGATGGTCAAATTTAAAATAAACTGTCATTTGATCATGAGCTACAGTAAGTTGATGCTTCCTGGTTCTTGTTTACCTGCCTCAGGTCAGGGAGGAAAAGCACAAAACGTTGACCATCTGTTCATTTTCTGTCTATACAGTGTCCCATGATTTTTGTGATGTGTGTTGTTTCCTGATCTGTGTTCCTAAACAAACAAAGAAAACCCTCACGGTATTTTTTAGGTGGAAGGAAGGTCAGAATGGAGGCTATGCTGTGCTTTCTTGCTATAAATTCCTTGGTGGGGGGAATGTGTCAGTGAACTGTTCTGAGTGCTGAGATGTGCTGTCGCACTCTGGGATTCTTTTTACCATTATATATTTAAATATTTCTATTTTGCTGATATTTTATGAGCAATCAGTTGAAGAGTATGCTCTATTTTTTTCTTCAGTTACTTACATTGCCTCTTTAGATGCTTTCATTTCCAGCACAACCAGCAGTACAGACACTGTGCTGCTGGCGTGGAGAGAAAAGCCAGAAACACTCCTTAAGATGACATCTTTCAACATTGCCCAGGGCGTTCATGCTTTTGATTACCACTCTCAGCTCAATTTAATTGGTATGTAAAATAAATCATGATAAGTATGAGGGCCTCATAAATCGTCTAGTGCATATATTTGTGTGCAGGGAAGTGCGGCACCTTGTCGCTTTATTGCCAGGGAGACCAACTTGCGCAGTTCACCTTTTATTGCCCGGGAATGTTTGATAATGATGCATAAGATGTGCGATGCGTTTGAATTGCACTGGGGTGAAATAGGAGAGAGCGCCCAATGCTTTAATAATGAGTCTTTTTAAAATTTTTATTAAAATTGGTCGAGGTGGAAGATGACACAGGGCAAGAGAACAGTTTGTACAGCATTTGCCATTCTGCCATCTTTCTAACACTGTCAAATGCTGCACCCAAACACATCCATCACTTTCATTACTGTCACATGGTCATGAACACACACACATTCACACGTATACACACGCACACACACACACACACACACACACACACACACACACACACATTTGCACACATCGGTATAACTTCAAACCCTGGAGAGTTGTCAAGAATATGTTTTCTAATATTTTAATTTTTTGTAAATTTACAGGCTATCATAGCTTTAATTTATTAAGGAAGTATTGTTTTGATGCAAGAAGTATAGGAAATATAATATTTTCAAGGTATTAATCTTTTAAATGAAATTCCTAGATATTCTGAAATTTGATAATTTGATATTATATGTAAGTTCAAGAATTATAAAACTGTCATGTAGATCTGTTGTTGAAAAATTAATTGTTATAGAGAACACATATGACCTATGGTATGGATCATAGAGATCCATATTTAGTAGCTACCATTCATAGGAAAAATGCTGATGTTAATTAAAAAAAATAGATACTTAATAACAGCTGATATAAAATACTTTAACATGGTTTTGGTGAGATGCAGTGATTTCCAAGAATACCATACCTATATGAAGGGATTGGTGAACTAATTTGGCATGGACTAAAATATTACCCATTTAATTCATTAGCTGACTAGTTACTCAGGTCCTCTAGTCTGATCTGTTTGGTACTTTCAGCAGCACTGGAAAACATAACAATCCCAGCTCCATAACAAGTTAAAGGCCAAGAAACAACCGGAGAGTTAAACTCCATCCCACACACTCGCATACTCACAGCCTTGCTTTGAAATGATCCTTGAATATCGAGAAGCCATGATTAAAAATATCAGATCTGATTGGCCTGCTCTTTGATCACCATCCCTGAGGGAGGAGCAGCCTTACCAGGTCACAGAAGATGACAATGCAGCCACTCCTGATGAGATCTGATAGACTAAGATCAGAAGGAAGGAGAGGAGGACCTCCCCTGTCAGTGGACTTGGGGAGGGGCATGCGTGAAGAAAGGGGAGGGAGGGTAGGACAGGAAGGGGAGGAGGGAGGGAGGGGCTTATGGGGGGAATACAAAGTGAATAAAGCGTAATTAATACAATAAAATAAAAGATAACAACAACAACAACAAATTACCAGATACCACAGTAAACCCGGATAGAAGTGTTTGTGATGCATGCTGGCCTTGTATGCTTGACTAGTTAAACAGTGATAAAAATAGTTCTTTTTTTCTTAATACTTCTATTTATTATTTCTGACTTTTAAATATTTGTCCTTTTTTTGCCCCCCAAATTACTCCTCATGCTGTCTAAATTACTTGTGTCCCAGAGATAGGGAACTTTGGGGCTAAGACAAAGAGTTTATTTCTGTCCAGGCAGGCTGTGGGTGGATTCCTAAGTGAGACTATCTTTTTCTTCTCTACCCTGTGCCTCAAGGTCACCCACACCCTCAGTTCACCTGAACTTCAAGTCTAGTTGGGCAAGGACAGTTTTTCTTCCTTTAAGACAGGGTGCATTAGTGTTCATTAGGAGTCATTTATCACCCTAGAGACAGATATGTGCCAATCTCATTTCCAAAAGATAATTTAAAGCATTTTATTTTCTTTTAAATTCTGATTAGCAACGGCTGGCATCAACAATAAAGTTTGCCTTTGGAATCCTTATGTCATCTCTAAACCAGTCGGGGTTCTCTGGGGTCATTCAGCCAGCGTCATAGCAGTCCAATTTTTTGCTGAGAGAAAACAACTTTTCAGCTTTTCCAGGGATAAAGTAAGTAAGCCTACACATCTAATATTTCTGTCTGCATTCCTAGTTCCTAAAGAAATCTGCACTGGGCCCCAACTTTCTCTCAGAAGTGTCAGTCATTCATGCAAACTGGCTAGCTATGAAGTCTTGAGCGATCTGGATTTGAAACGAGTATTGATTGATTGTTGCTTCATAAGTATTCTGGGCAACTGGATAAAAAGTATTTAATTGAACTTTTGCTCAAATCATGTACCCATAGGTTTAATTCTTTTTATTGGATGTCATATCTGAAGAGCATTCAAAGTTTTCATTAATTCTACATGGAAAAAATGGATGTGGCAATAAGGAAATGTTGCTTGGGTAAAATAGTGAAAAGGCAGAGCTGATTAACCATTACCACTTTATATTAAAAGACTCCTTAAATTATACTTTTAAGCTACTTGAAAATATCAAGTATATGATAAATTTCAGTTAAATGTCTATGTGTTTGATGATCTTTCTTGGATAGCTTTTGTCTGTACTTGGAGATATTAGGGATTTGACTTAGACCCTTATACATGCTAAACAACACACTCGGCCATTGAGATACATTCTAAGCTCTTCATGGGACATTTTCAATATGGTGGACAAAGGCTCAAAATTCATGTAGTCTAGATTGAATTCTGAGCACATTATGATAGCTAATTAAATAAATTTCTTAATCTCCAAAACTTTACCTTTTATGTATTATAAAATTTTACATTCTACGTAATCCCATACCTTACAGATTCAGTAAAAACTATGATAGATTTATGGCAAAATGGATGCCTCAGTGTTTAAGAGAACTTGTTGCTCTTGCAGAGGACTCAGGTTCTGTTCCTGGCCAACTCATGGTTGCGTTCACAACCACCCATAACACCAGTTTCAGAAGACCAATGCCCTCCTTCTGACCTCCACAGACACTAAGCACACATGTGGTACAAAGACATACATACATACATACATACATTAATACATACATACATACATACATTAATTAATTAATTAATTCATACACATATATGAATGATAGATTTCAAGAGGAAAAAGTGAATAAATGGCGATAGTCTCTGAGAATCAGAAAATTTTTGTTCTATATTAGAGAAATATATCTGTGTTATAGCAGAAACTATAAAACTTAGACACACACCTTCTGTCCATCATCTTGCCTCTTCATCCAAGCTCCCACCCTTCTAACTTTAGAAACCTCGTCTTTGCTGGATGTGGTAGTGCACACTTTAAACTCCAGCACGTGGAGGCAGGTGGATCTCTTCTTATTCAATACCAGCTTTGTTTACAGACTGAGTTCTAGGCAATCCAGGGACACATAGTGAGACCCAGTTTTTTTTTTTTTTATCTCACCTGTTTTCCTTAAAAAACACGGAATACTGTATACATTGCTTACCATGTCCTCATACTTGCAGAAAAACTGTCTCTTCCATACCTTCTATTATATTAAAACAAGAGTTTTCAAGAAAACAAATAATGAGTGAAAACATTCACTCTCTTACCTCTAGCCTCCATTTATCTATCAACTCTCAAATTCTTAACTTTTCATACACACACCCCTCTAATTGACCAGCCTATTTCACTTCTTTCTCTTCTAACTTATTATTTTTACACTCGAGCTGTATCAACCCTTGGACCTTGCCACCATACAGTTTTCCAGCACTACAAGGGGCACTTTCTCCTGTAGTTTCCTGTCCTTTACTACAATGTGATAGAAGCGTGTGTGACAGCCGCCATATCTTTTGGAGTTGCTCATTATATATGGTGTTTCCTTCTGTGTACTCCAATTGCCCTTCATTGGAACATACATTTGTCATTAATTGCCTTCTCTAAGATGTTAGTAGTTTTTTAGCCTATAGTAGCAGAATCTTCCACAAGCTTGCAGTGTTTACTGTGACTATATGTTGCTAGATTTAAGTAAAGGACTATTGCTTCAGATACAAAGAAGCAAAGAAACTCCAATAGACCTCTTTGGGTGCCTTGCTGGATTTAGTTGTTTTACTTCTTGAAGTCTTTGAACGTTTTGTTCTGACTTCAATTATTAAACTCAAAACAATTTTCTCTGTGTATCTGTATTTTATCTTTAAAAATTTGACTTGAAGATAATGGCTATGTGTTAAATTTATTTTTATCTCTCCTAAGATCTAGTACATATTAATAGTTCAATCACATGGCAGGAGATAATATATGAGTAGTGTAACTCTTAAGGCAGTGTTAGTGTTCTTGAAGTTAAGAACTATATTTTTTCTTGGATTGTGCCTTACTTGTGCAAGGTCCTTGATACATTATAGTTAAGTGAAAAAATCTGAACCAGGCAAAAATGAAACAAGTATCAGATATTTCATCATTATGGAGCTCTATGAATGGTTTTACAACCTTAAAAGCAAGTGCAAAAACATGCCTTTTGAATCAGGATTGATCACATACAGCTGCGATCGATATTACGCCTTCGTGGCCTCTTTCCAAAGCAGTTTTGTCCTTCAATTTTCACTTTGGTTTCTAAACTGTTGCATCATTATAAAGCATGTCATGCTGTCACTCAGATTGGCGGGAATGCATTTCACTTTGATAAATGTCAGACAGTCTGACTCCCCATGTCCACAGCAAACAGCAGGGCCTTCTGCTGTTGGGCTAAGTCTCAGCTTTAGTGCTGCAAAATTCTTTTGGATATTTTATATGACTATAGTTAAACTAGAGCTCGAGGGAAAATAAAACATCATCTTGTTTTATAAAGGGCCTTTGATTAGATTGTGCATTCATCAATCAGTTACTAAATTAGAGAATTTGTGGATCAAAGAAAGCCAGATCTAAATAACTTCCTCACAATATGAGTTGCAACTCTAGTTCTTTCAGGAAGGTTGTTCTATTGACACTTTTCAAGGGATGATGAAACAATTTTATTCCTTTAAAACTTGATATTATAATAAATTATTATAGTCTAATGGACTTTCCTTTGGATTACTCCTAATCTGCTGTTCTTAACATATTAGACTGGTAGAAAGGTCTTGATGGAAACTGGTTATCTGCTTATTTAAAGTAGGGACTTTCAGAACAGGAAAAAGGGGACCAACATTCCACTTAGAAAGTTGGGTTCAACTCCCCTTTGCTCCTAACCACTGTTTCATAGAATACACTAATCCTGATTTGGACACCATGACTATATTAACTTTTAACTAAATCCTTTGTTTGAGGTTATGATTTTTTTTCCCAGAGCCTGCCATCTATACTCTACAACTATTGTTGGCAAGAGATACACTGGGATTTTGTGTTGATGACTGGACATTACCCATTGGTCCTGGCAGGGCCCGACTTCCATCTGTTAATCTATGGGCAAAGGATTTTAATGTTGTTTCAATTGCACAAGCAAATGGCTTAAGTTTCTCCTTTAAAAACTACAAATCATGAAGATGCGTGAGGGGCAAAGTCAGAAATATCTTTCTATTTCTTCAAAGCTATTTCTAGCTCAGGAAATAACTATGAACACTTGTTGTTCCTCTTACATAGTACGGTTATGTACATAATATATTGTACTATGTTGTTATATGCTAGTCTGTGTGTATGTATAGATACAGTTGGTGCCTATTATTTGTATGTATCCATATTAGGAGCAATATATTTTTCTGCATTATATTTCCCTAAACATATCTCATAGGGAACATTTTTTGTGAAGTGTATGTGCATATGCATGTGATCTCACGTGTGTGATTGTGTGTCAGTCTTTTCTCTTATATTCTATTTCATGGTATAGTTGGCCATGATTCTTCACCAACTAATTAAAAAGGCATTGTTCCTAATTTTTCTTTTTAGACCAGTAGTATTTAGCTTTACTGTAAATCTCTGAGATATCGAGCCTCTGGTTGTTGGTTACCCAAGCAGGGCTGGGTAAGGGTTCTATCTCATGGCGTGGGAATTAAGTCAAGTCAGACATTGCTTGGTTATTACCACAAGGTTTGTGCCACCATTGCCCGGCCATAGTTTACAGGCAGGACAGATCGCAGAGAAAAGACTGACACACAATCACACATGTGAGAGCACATGCATATGCACATACACTTCACAAAAAAATGTTTTTCTTCTAACTGATTTGCTGTGTCTGGTTTATGTTGAAGTCCTTGATCCACTTGGACTTTAGTTTTGTGCAGGGTGATAAATATGGATCTATTTTCATTTTTCTGCATGTAGACATCCAGTTGGACCAGCACCATTTGTTGAAGATTCTGTCTTTTTTCCATTGAATGGTTTTGGCTTCTTTGTCAAAAATCAAGTATCTACAGGTGTGTGGGTTTATTTCTGGGTCTTCTATTGGATTCCATCGATCCACCATTCTGTTTCTATGCCAGTACCATGCAGTTTTTATTACTATTGCTCTGTAGTACAGCTTGAGATCAGGGATGGAGATATCTCCAGAAGATCTTTTGTTGTACTGGATCGTTTTGGAAATTCTGGGTTTTTTGTTTCTCCATATGAAGTTGAGAATTGTTCTTTCAAGGTCTGTAAAGAATTGTGTTGGGAATATTTTGATGGGAATTGCATTGAATCTGTAGATTGCTTTTGGCAGAATGGCCATTTTCACTATGTTTATCCTCCCGATGAACATGGAAGGATGAGCATGGGAGTTCTTTTCAGCTTTTGATATCTTCTTCAATTTCCTTCTTCAGAGACTTGAAGTTTTTTTCAAACAGGTCTTTCACTTGCTTGGTTAGAGTCACCATAAGGTACTTTATGTTATTAGTGGCTATTGTGAAGGGTGTTGTTTCCCTGATTTCTTTCTCGGCCCTTTTGTCTTCAGTGTACGGGAAGGCTTCTGATTATTTTTGAGTTGATTTTGTATCCAGCTAGTTTGTTGAAGGTGTTTATCAGTTGAAGGAGTTCTCTGGTTGAATTTTTGGGGTCACTCATGTATACTATCATATCATCTGCAAATAGTGGTACTTTGACCTGTTCCTTTCTGATTTGTATCCCCTTGATCTCATTTAGTTGTCTTATTGCTTTAGCTA